AACTGTCAGGGCACAAGTGACAGCAAAGCTCACTGAAATCTAGTAAAGACTGTTTGGATATCCACTTGGAGGTTTGCTTGGGAAAATGAGAGCGATTCCCAGCCAGACTCTTCTGTAGTTATTATCAAGGAGTATCTGTTATTTCTAGACTTCTCCAGACAACAGCCACCGTAGCAATATTTGTTGGGTGCATGATGTTCCATTTGTGGCAGTTGGGAAGCTGTGCATGGTGGTAATTTCCCCTCAACCTGTTATTCGCAGTGCCACAACTCCAGGAATGGAGCAGTCTGCAGCCCCAGGAACTGGAAAAGCAGCAAGTGACCAATCTGCAAAGGGAGAGCGAGGAAGAGCATCCCCACAGCCTCCATCATCTGTGCGGAGAGGTGACTCTCCCATCATCCAGGAGCCTGAGGAGCCCCAGCACCACCAGGATGACCACTCTCCAAGGAGAAGTAGTCTCGTGATAGTGGAGTCAACTGATGAGCACACAGAGAAGTCTGGAAGGGGCTATGAAGAAGAATCTTTAGAAAAGGTAACTAACAACTTCGTCTCAAAGTAATTGACACAAAGAGGTTTTATGTCTTGCTCATTCCTTAAGTTGAGAATGTTTTTAATTAATCCCCATCTGCCACTGAGTCTGTTCTCCTTCTCTGTGGTTAGAAGGCTTAGCTATAGGCATTTCTTAGAGGTTTCAAAGCTGAAGCAAACCCCAGATCCTGAAGTCTCGACTGTAATTGTAGCTCTGATTCCCTTATTTGACCTTTGGTCTGTGACAGTTATGTCCATGCCTGAGAGAGTTAGTGTCAACAGTAAGTGCAGAAACAAACTGTGTACAAGTGAAAGCTGAAAAACAGATGTAATAAGAGACAAAGTAATAACATGAAGAACTTACAAAGAAAGTCAAGACTAGCCCAGAGCAGCAAGAAAAATGGCATGAAAGACACTGTAAGGCTAGTGAGATGGAAAAGGGGCAGCAGGTTGTGCACTGCCGACTCAGGATGTACTGGCAGCATGGTGTTCATGCTGGCAGTAAAGACATACAGAGACAGGAGAGGGAAGAGAACATCAAAAACTATGTCAAGTCACTGGTTGTGTAAGAGAAAGGGACTTTATTGCAACTTTTAGAGAGGGGAAGACATCAAGAGGCAATGAAAGAAAAGCAACCATCTGGCTTTTAGTGGGGAATTAAAATTTCTTGGCAGATAAAAGTTAAGGAATGAACAGCTTCCTTTGCCTGCTCTAAATGGAAGAAAAGGAGAAGGCATAATTGTGCAGGAAATTAGTTTTATCAGTCAAAGTAGAGCAGGGAAGGCACAGTTCTAGTGAAGCAGGTTTTGTTTCCTGTTTTGATGTTCACATAGAAGCCAGCTCTTTTTTTCCTTTGCTGTTTGTGCGGCCTAATGTGCCACTTCTGGAATGAAGAGTTTCTGAGCTCTACCTCTGCGATCTCAAGGGTATTGGATAACTGAGATGTAATGAGTAGCTAGGACAGGACTCAGTACAAGAGCTGCCCTCAGAGATAATGCACTGCTTTTGCCCCCAGTTCTTTTACTGAAGTCAAACAACAGCAGCAGCAACCAGTGCCACCAAACAGAAACACACACCCTCTCATTTTTTTTCCCCCTTATGCTTTTCTACTGTTGCTTTTTCCCAAGTCATTTTCAGCTTCTCGTTGCCTTCTGACCTCATCATTTAAATGCTTACTTCGTCCCTACACAGGAGAGAATTTCAACTCTTGTTAGGATTTTTTATTGATCTTTCCAGTGCTCAGGCTGTTGCTACAATGTCCTCTAGTTCAAACTGCTCAGTCCTGCTGTCTGTATGCTGTCTGTATGTACATCTGTACTTCCCAGGATGGAGGATTAAAAGGCTTTCGTATCACATGTTCTGTGTAATTAACACAGAAACCACCAGCGCTATGTAGGAATTCCAGAGTTGCTGTAACAAGGCAGAACCTGTAAGTACTGCTAGTGCCACACACAACAGAGCACTGCTTCCATGCTTCCCCTAGGAGTTAGCAGAGGAGTTAGGTGTGCTGGAGATGAGCTCTGACGAGGACGAGATGGTCACTACCAGGGTTGTTCGCCGCCGGGTGATTATTCAGGTACAGAGTGTTGAGCAGTTGCATGTCCCTGTGGTGACCAGGCCCAGGGAACAGCTTTAGGCAAGGCTGCCAAGCCCAGGCTCATGGCTGGTGTCACAACTGAAGCTGGAGCACTCCAGAATAATGCATGGACATTGGATAAGCCTTTCCGATACCTTTTCTTGAGGGAGGATTGCAGTAACACTGCTAACCCAATTCCAGTAGATGCCTTGGTAGGAGGAGGATGGAGACTTGTCAGCCCCATCCACAACACAGTCAACTAACAGTTCTTTGCCTGTCTGCCGTGGCATAACTTTTCTCTGCATGCCTTTCCAAGGATTTATTTGCAGAACAGATCTTCTTCTAACATTTCTCAACGGTTTTTTCCTTGCTCTAACCAATTAACCAATTTTAAAACTACTTCTTTCAAGTGGCCCACATGAAGGCCTCACTTCACACAACTTTGTTCTCTGTCATACAGGCTGATAGTATGCCTGACATGCCACCAGAAACAGTCACAGAAGAGCAGTATACAGATGAACACGGCCACACAGTGGTAAAGAAGGTATTGTCAGTTCTGCCCCTTGCTGCCTTCTTCCTGTCTTGTAAAAGGAAGGATAAAAGATCCACACACATACCAGAGGTTCTGCTGTGCAGGGGCATGATTTGAAGAGTAGAGAGTGGAAGGAATGAGAATTTCTGTTCAGGAGAGATACCAAAGTTTGAAGAATTATCTGGATTCACAAGATCATTCTCTGTATGATACAGGATGTATAGGGTATAACCTAACAGGACATATTTTGTAAGTTTTCCCACTTAAACCCAATAAAAATGCTGGATCCACATTTCTTAGAAGAAAGTTTTTTTGGGTTTTTTTAAACCCCCACACTGATAATATTTTATGTAAGATCTTGTTTCTTTGTATTGATGAAACTGATGGAGAGCTGGGTCTGCAAGGGTCATCAGCAGAAGGATGCATACCCATCCTCCTGAGCAATTGACCTCATCCTGAACCTTGTAATTAACTTCTGCTCCTCTTCATTTAGCTTGCCAATGCCTTGAGCACCAAATGAGTCTCTTCAGCAGGTTCATTCTAGCCAGCTAGTTCAGCTGTGGTTAGTACCATCAATGCTTAAGGGGACATCTAGGTCCCTCCATCAGTCTATTTCTAAGCTAGTTCTTTCTGAAGGCTTTTTGGAAATGCCAGTCTGAAAGTGTTTTCTAGTGCTTGGGCAGTTGGTAAAGTACATTATCTCTCTGAAATACTGTAACTACTGCTTTAGGGAGTCATTCCACTATCTCTATGGTGCCCACTTAGGAAGATAGTTCATGGAAGCTTTGCTGTGTGGTAACCTAAGTAGGGTGAATGCATCAACTGGGAGCATTGCTACAGGTCCTTGTGAGTATGTGTTGAAGAGGAAAACACCAAACCATCTGTGCAACTTCTTTCATGTAGGAAAAAATGCCCTTTGACTAGAAAATACTTATATAAAGAACAAGGAGAAATCTGTTAGTGTCAGTTCTTTTGGGACTAAGCTCTCATTGATTCCCTCAGGTCACTCGGAAGATTATCCGGAGATATGTCTCTCCAGATGGCACAGAGAAAGAGGAAGTCCTGATGCAAGGAACACCACAAACACCTGTCACAGTGGAAGAAGGAGATGGCTACTCCAAAGTTGTGAAACGGGTTGTGCTGGAGAGTGACAGTGAGCAGTCAGAGGTGGGTTCTGCTTTCCTTGCAGCCTCGAAGCAGCAGCATCCCAACAGCGTCCCCTTAATCACTGCATCTTACTCAGACCCATTCTACAGATAAGTCCTAAAACTCTGCAGTTAGGTGAAGTTTAACTTACTGGTGTGTTCTTTACTTTAAAGAGGCTAAAAACACCCATGACTTGCATGCAGAGTGTTTTAGAGCCAGGTAATTAAAAATAAAACCAACCTAAAAAGGTAAGTGCTCTTCAGCTTGCCTTTTCCTGCCATACTCTGCTGCCTACAGACATTGGTATCAGCAAAACTGAGGCTGTGAGGGAGGGCTAGAGGCTGGGAACAGAGTGTGCTTTCAGCAGTCCTGTGGTCGAAAGCAACACGCAACAAGAGGTTATTAGAAATGTGAAAATAATCACTGCCGTTTTTCTTGCCATAATTAAAAATCAGAATTAATTCTCTAGGAGTTAAGGTAACAAGAAAACCAAGTAATTTTCATTTTAGTGAGCTGATCATACCAGAGCTGCTCTTTAATCATATGGAGCCCTCAGACATGAAAGTCTTTTGCCAAACCAAATTGTGTTTGTCACTTTCCCAAGGTATTCGGCTGTTGCCCTGGTAAGAGTTTCTTGGCTTTACAAGTCACCATTTGGATGTGTACACATAGAAAGGAGATGCTGCTTCTGTTCTTGCTCTCTATGGCAATGCTGGAGTAACACAGCTTTGCTCATATCTGGTATGGAATTCATCCCCGGTGTGCTTCTGCTTCCCAAACTTACAGGTGACCCTGTCTGAACCTGCTGCTTTGCCTAGTGCCTCCAAATTCCAGTCTGAACCAGTGGAAGGCAGGAAGGTCAGCAAAGTCATAAAGACCACTGTAGTGCACGGAGAGAGGATGGAGAAACACCTGGGGGATGCCAGCTTAGCTTCTGATCTGCCATCAGCCAAAGAGGACTTCGAAGAGGTAAGAATAACTCATATATGTAAGTATTACAATGAGTGTCACAACATCCAAGGGGACAAATTCTACTCTACCAAAAGTTTTTGTTGTTGGAGCACCAGAACCAACTGCTGAGTCCAAGTTATACTCAGCCATGTTATAAAAAGATGAGTATATAGTGTGTAGGGGAAGCTAACATTGCAGAGTTAGCTATAAAACTGGTTAAGATGCTAAAAAAACCACAGAGGCTTTTTCTATGAAGCTGTTAGAAATGTTGGGTGTGGGAGCTGGGAAAGATCATTCATATGTTACCACTCGTGGAGCTAATTTTAGAAATGGATCCAGTTAAGCCTATCTCGGGGTGAAGTGATGTGTTTGTCCTCAAAAGGACAGAATAGCTGCTAAGGCAATGAGCACTTTTCTGGTTTTGTGCTTTTTCTGGTCAGCTTAGACATTTTAGTAAGAGAAAAGTAATGTTGAGTTAATACTTTTTTTTCCTCCAAGCAACCAATAGCACTTCACTCTGAATACAGTTTGTTGTCCCTTTGAATAGCATATCTTAGAGGGATGAAATCTGTGGCATTAGATGCAGTGTCTGGATGTGGTTTAGGTTTTCAATGTGACAAAATAATGCCACATAAAAACATGGATGCCACAGACTGGATGTTTCCCGCTGTGCAATGGCATTGCAGCTTGCAGGAAGAAGGTGAGTGCAAAGCTGTTGGATTGAGATACCAAATTTCCTGTTAGGAATCCAGGCCAACAGCCAAATCCCTCTCTCCTGACAACAACCAAACAAGGAGGAAAAACGGTCAGGAAGAGATGGAATAGGACAGCTTGGGAAGTTATACTTGGTTCCCAGCTTCTCCCTCAGTCAATCCACAGGCCTGGATTTCCAGGAGGAGAAAGCATCAAGACATGCTTTGTACAATGATTACTGAAACAAAACTGTTCTGTACAAGAAGCTGCAGCTGCTCTCTACCCAAGAGGGACGTTTGTAGGGATGCACTTAACATCTCTTCCTCTTAAGTGCCTATCCAGCATTTTCTTAGCATTCTCCTGAGTTAATACAAAGCACCAAGGAAGAAAGTGCCATTATTTTCTGTCCCAGGTGTTTTGGCTTTGTTTTAATGTGAAGTTTGTTTTTTTTGTTGGAGGCTTTGAGCTATACAGGTAACCACATGAAAGTTCAACTCCCTGCTTTAGTAGAGAAAGAGATCAAGAAAGAAGATGGATCAATAATTAAAAGGTTTGACTTAGCATGGCAGTGAAGTGTTACGAAAATGATTAATACCCAATAACTGAGTGGATTTCAGTGAGTGCCTGAAGTGAAACCCAAGGCAACATCTAAACAATTATTTGCAAAAGTACTAGAGACAACTACTAACATTCTGTTAGCAGAAGAGGAAGTATGCACTGCAAAGGTCTGAGTCACCTGGAAAGACTGATGGAAGGGGAAACTTTTAAAAACCCAAAGCAGAAAACTGGTGGGTCGAATGAAAACAGACACTGTAAGTAGTGTTTGGTGACAGGGAGGTATATGTATATGTAAGAAGTAGTAGTGTATGGGTGTAAGGAGGGGGCTAAGGACACACCTGGTGGAGGGACACTACTCCCCAATTACATCTTCATTTCCACACTCATTTGCCACCTACAACGAGGAGAATTAACCCAAGATAAGCCCAACAGTCCTCGCATGTCCATGTGTTACAGCATGGTGACCCAGGAATCTCAGCCTGTAGATTGAATAATCACAGTGTCTCCTTGCTGGGAGCTGACATGAAATCCTGCTAACACATCAGTGTGCCTTGTGTGCAGCATGCAGAGCTCTGCCTCAGGACCTGCCTTCCACCACCAGATGAAGAAAACCACAGCTCAAAATCAAAATTGCCTAAAGCCTCGAGGCACTGTGGGTTTGTAACTCAGTTTTCCCCTTTGATTTGTTCCAGGACAACGCTGAGTAAAGCCAGCACGCAGAAGAGGACCGTGATGAAGGATTGCTATGGAAAACACGTTCACATAGAAGAGCTGGAAGACACCCCAGAAGCACTCCCCAGGGATGACCTCCAGCATGACCTCCAGCAGCTTCTTCGGCACTTCTGCCAAGAGGACTGGAAACAGGAGGCCAAGTGAGAAGCTGCTGCCCCTCCACAGCACCACGTAACCCTCAGTCCCATACGCAGGCACCTTCCCTAGGTAGTGGACATCACTCCCCACACCATCGCTGAAGTCACTGCCATGTCTACTCACGCAGCTGCAGTGAATTCATTTCTGCCCCCACCCCCAATTTCATTTTGTGTTCTCATTGTTTTTTACCCTGTAAGCTAATTTGTGACCAAAGATAGCATCCTTCAGGCAGGATGATTTATCCACCCCACACTTGTCTTTGTGCTGCGCTGGGACCTCGTCAGCATCACCACTTCTCGCTGCCCCTTCGCTCCTGCACTCCTGACACGGCACTCCTCAAGCCAACTTCATCTACAGGCCTCTTCCAGTGACTATGTACATGCACCATAACAAGGGAGTTCACATGTAAACTGTAAATAGTCAGAGTATTTGGACTTACAAGACTGCAGAAAACACACTGCCCGTGGCTACCATTGGCATCATGGATTACAAGGTCCAGTGACACTGTGGAACGGCGATGCATCACCTAACGTTACCACCACCGACTGCAAACACAGACTGAGTGAGGAGGAAGCACTGCATCCATAAGACTTCCAGTTTAGGGATCTATTATAGTTAAAGGCTCTAAGAGTCAGGCTCAAAACCTCAGCTGTTTCTGTGAGCTAACAGCTGACTGTGGCTATTAACACTGCTAAGACCTTCCGACAGCCACTGAAAGGTTTCCACAAAGAAACTAGAAGAAGAAATACTCTTAGGTAACCAAGTTGCTAGCAGCTATATCTATGGCACATTTGCATATGGTATTAAAACCTCTTACATCCGGACCTGTGGCAGGGTGTATCCAACAAATCTAACTCCAGTAGTTTCCCGTTTCCATCACCGCTTAGCCGACCACACCGTCCGACCGGTGGGACTTCCTGGGGGCCACTGCACTGTAGATAACTACGGGAGAAAGACTTCCCCACCATACAGGGAGAATAACTCATTCACCGTGTTTTAGCGAGATTGCCTCTTATCTGATACATGCATGTGGCATTTGAAGGTCAGAAACCAAACCCTCCTAGAACCATGTCAGCTTCTTGGCCCTCTTAGCACTGAGCGAGCAGTTTTTATCTCCCAACCAGGTGTTTTTTAAAGAACAAGTGCTCACACTCCTTGGCAGCCAGTTCTGTTCATATTTTGTTATGTAACTATATATAATATATATATTTCTAAACCAACCCTCTGAAGAAACCACGATAGCATGTCTGCACTTTTCTTTTCCAAAAAAGGGAACATAGGGATCTGATGTTTGGGGTGTTCTATACCTTAATATTTAATGGAGGGAGCTCTGTAGGGTTTTAGCATAACACACATGCACACAAACACACTAACTTAATGTTTTTAAACAGCTCTTTCATTTTTTCAATAGTAGACTCCACACCAGAGTAAAACCAACTCTCTCCACTAGGATCCTGGTGGAGGATCCACTGGGATCTCCACAATCCTTTGTCCAAGCTTATCTGGCCTTCTACAATTAAGGGGTTCTTGGGTTTTTGTTTTAACGACTCACTCAGTGCTCAGAACTAGGGCACTTCCTCATTAAGGTAATGATGCCAAAAGCATGGAGACATCTCTGGAGTTCTGGCTTCCTGCAGGCAGAACCGCCTGAGGTACCATGCTGACACTTTTTTGGGCAGGCAAGGAAAAGAAATCTCCAAGTAAAAAGTGTTTTGGCAGCCAAACCGACCGAGACCCGTGACGGAACACCTCACAGCACACTGTGGCTTCCTGGCTGGCCGAGACAGCCCAGGAGGGTCTTCAAGGATGGGGCTCTAAGGAAATGCATTTCTGTTGTGTTCTTTGCGGTGCAGATGATGTTCTGTGTAACAACATAATGGTTATTCACCTCTTATTTTGATTTTTTGCTGTGTTATCAGAGAACTTGAATACTGTGAGAAGAAGTGAATTTTAAGTTGACGAATCAGCATCTTGTTCCCATGGTGATAACACTAATTGAATATATCTATGAGGGCATGTATTAGTTAAATTAAAGAGATACAACACTAACAATACATAGCTGCAATGTGTACAATGGCTGATTTAACTAAATAAAAATGTACAAGTGTTAAATGTAGCAATGGTGGCTCACTTGCTTTTACTGCCAGCACAGGCCGAGGGGCAGCACTTGTGTGGGGTCCTCAGCTGCACCAGCAGAACCACAACTCCTCTTGACACAGCTCCCTGCAAGAGACACTTAATTCTGCCACTCAGCACTGATTGATAAGGGTCAGCCTTATAACAGACACAACTTTTATTAAAGGTTGTTTTCATTCATTTCTCAAGGGGATCTAACCTTGTTTTCAAGTTATTTTATTGGGTCTGAAATCATAAAGTTCCCTCCAACTGTGTCCTAAGACTGTTTGCCATAGTCAATGCCTTTTGCAGTGCCCACAACTCACAGTTCCTCAGCAGAACAAAGATAAGGAAGAAAACTATAGGGTGTAATTGTCACCTCTTACATTCTGGCAATGCACAGAAAATCCTGGGAGGGGTATGTTTTGCTGCCAATTTCTATTTATTCCCTAATAATTCTCAACCGGTTCTATTACTGCAGCAGAATGTCTCATCCAACCGGTCAGCCTGCCCCAGGATCACCACTCTGTGCTATTTGCTCATGCATTACCTCAAAGGAGTCCTCCTACTACATCTCACATGGTACAGGAACCACTGATTTAAGCTAAAATTCAGAATTATTTAGGCTCCTTGATTAAGAGACAAAAAGAGCCCAAGAGACACACCTGAACTCCCTGCCAAGGCCAGGGAGCTGCATCCAGAGCCTGAGATATGCAGCACCAAACCACCAGTCACAGCTGGTGACACTCCCTTGTCACAGACATGGCAAGACCTGGTCAAGGTAAGTACCTAAGCCAAAAGCTACCAACTATTTCCTTGATTACAGACAACTGTGCATAGAGAAGCCCAGCAATCAAACAACAAACTCCCCCCCCCGAAGCAAACAACCAAACCCACACACCTTCCACCACACATAAAGTGTAAGGATATGAGGTCTAACACTCATTCTTCCTGCACACTACAGAGCTAGTAAGATCCAAGACTGCACTCAAAGCTCAAGTCTTCAGCTGTTAAAAAAACCCTGTACAAGAACATGCCGCCACACAACCACCCCCAAACAGGGAACCCACTCAGACACCACCACAGCCCTGGACCCACTCATCCCACTGAGCAAACATGACCTTTTAACGTCACTGAATCTCCAGTGAGGGCATCCACATGCTTATTTCAAGAACCATGTGACTCCCTTCCCCCTGCTTTCCAGATCCATTCCATCAACATCCTTTTTGATCACACCTCAGCTTTTCTTACTACATGTGACACCAGCTTTGTCTACTGACTAAATCAACACCTGAGCGATCACTACATGAGGCCAAACATCACTATGGCTGAGCTCGAGGCTGAATCAGCCTGTCAGCCTACTCCCCTGTAACTACAGGCTATGAATCTATGGTACAACAGCTAAACACACAACTGAAATGACTGGAGCACCAGCATGTACCACCAAGTATGAGAACACATGTGCTACAAACCAGCAAGATTTTGGGGCACAACACCACAGCTTTTCCTGACCTAGCACAGATACAGTGGTAAATAGAGACCTCACAGAGAAGGCAAGGGATAAAACATTGTTTGGTGAGGGTGATGCTCAGCTTCTATGGAGCTGAAGGTTCAAGAATGCTGAAAGCAGCCTGACTCATCAATCCTGGAGCTAAACATGCCAATAGTGAGGTGAAAATGTGGCAGACCTCATAAAATACCTATTAAGGAACAAACCAGTGACATTGCTGATCACTTTCCAGTGATCAGCTGAGCTGGCACAGCTGCCTGGGCACATATGACTGACAGTCAATCACTTCATACCATACAAGCCCAGTCCCACTTTTTCACGTACCTCAGATCTGTGTGTGGAGATTCCTCCCTCGAGATTGCTCCTCAAGGCTGAGCTAAAGAGATTTGCCCACAGTCATTGGCATTGGTGGCTAACACTAATCTCTACTTAATAACTGGTTTGTTAACTTTAATATCATAGTCCCAATATTGCTTCAAAACCAGTACACTGTGCTGGTGGCTCTAGCTACTTGTTCTGGGTAGGAAATAATTCTGGTTAAGGTCTTTTAGCCTAACCCTTATGATAATCTAGTTAAATCTATTGATATCAATAAACAACTCATTCATTTCAAATGCCATCCTTAATCCTGACAACAGAGTTGGATAAAGGTTCAATTAATCTTAAAAGGTTCAATTCAATTTTCAGCTGAACATGGACATTAAGATGATATTTTTAATCTCCCTTCCCACGACCATGAGCAGCACCAGCCCTGGGGCTACTTCCACTACCCCTGCCCTATTCTGCCTTCCTCCTGCTCACACTTCTCCTCCCTTCCCTCCCTCAAGCAGGACTTTAAGGCTATATTTGTTTTCACTGTGTGAAATTTGATATTAATAAATCAAAGTTAATTATTCATTAACAAATAAAACGCGCGTCAGTGGCGAAGGGTTCATGGTGGGAAGGGGCGGGGGTTGCCATGGCGACGCCTCGGCCCATTCGGGGCGGGGGATGCTGAGGTGATGCTTTGCCCGACCCATTCGGGGAGCGGGGAAGTTGCCAAGGTGATGCTCTGCCCCATCCCGGCGG